TTACAAGTTGCAGATGAGACCCACTACTGCCCAACCACTGCCTCCAATATACCTAGCAAATTTCAACCTTAGAAGACCCAGAAGAAGCATTTCTGAGGCTTCAACTAGGAGAAATTGTGACTTTTTATTTTTTCTCCATTTTTTATTTTTATGATTTTTATTTTAATTTTTTAAATTTTTCCTTCTTCTTTTTCACCCCTACCCCTTTCTCCTTATGCTAGGGTTCGAGCCCAGGCCACTCACACATTGAGCATGTGTTTTGCCTCTGAGCCACATTCTCAGTTCAGCCAGAAGTAATTAAGTCCAATTCTGGCCACCATCCAGTCGTGCTGTAACCATGGCAGACATCTCTCCTTTATAAGGGGCCAGTGGGTCAGCTTCCCATTGTTGATCATCCCCCAGTGGGATATTAGGTCCTACTCCTGAGCAGACAGCCTCACAAGAACAGCAGAGAGAAAGACACAATGGTTGGTGACATCTAAATTAACGCTTCCTTTGCCTCTTACTAATGCATCCTGAATACAGTTTTTCAACAATGGGAGTCAGCAAACCTAGAAACTTGTTCCACAAAAGAGTGGGCTGGGTTTCTTATTTCAGCCTCAGGAACCTACTCAGCCCCAGTCTGGTGACAGGAAGAAAATGTTTGCAGCATGAGGTGAGGGGGGACTCAGAGTAGTGTGTCAAAACTATGCATATGTAGAACACTGCGCCAAGCAACTGCAGTAAATATTGTTTTAAAATGGATATGGTATGTTTACCAGTACAGACTACACATGAGACCATAAAACAAATCTCAGTAACTATCAAAGAACTAAAACCACACAGAGAATATGTTCTAACCACAATACTATTAAATCAGAAATCAATAACATATCTAAAAATCCTCACTTTTATAAAGTAAGTAACATACTTCTGAAATACATTTAGATAAAAAAGAAATCACAAGGGAAATTTGAAAATATCTTTATGTGAATGATGATTATGAACTCAATGTATTAAAATTTTATATACAGTTAAGACAGTGCAGCTTTAAATACTTGTGGAGAGACAAACTAACAGCCTAATAACCTCATATTAAATAAGAAAAACTGAAAGCTTTTCCTTTAAAATGAGGAAAAAAACAAGGATGAGAACAGTTACCATTTCTATTAAACTAGGACCTGAAACATTAGCCAGAGTAATCAGGCAAGAGAAAGAAATAAAAGGGACACATAAGAAAGGAAGAATTCAAATTATCATTATTTACCAATGGCATGACACTCTACATAGAAGTCTCAAAGAATTTCACCAAAAGACTCTTAGAATTAATAACCAATTTCAGCACTATAACAGGAAATAAAATCAATACACAAAAATCAATGGCATTCATGTATCCCAATAATGAACTCAATGAGAAAGAAATTAGGAAAACAATACCATTCACAATAGCATCAAGAAAAATTAAATACCTAGGAATTAACCTAACCAAGGAAGTGAAAGACTTCTACAATGAACACTACAGTACTTTGGAAAAAGAGATCGAAGAGGACCTCAGAAAATGGAAAGATAAAAAAAAGAAAAATGGAAAGATGTTCTCTGCTCCTAGATAGACAGAACCAATGTTGTCAAAATAGCCATAGTATAAAAAGTGCTATAATATAGAGATTCAACATAGTCCCAATCAAAATGCTATTTAGAGAAAACAATCCTTAAATTCATTTGGAACCAGAAGACACTCAAAATTGCAAAAGCAATCTTGGGTAACAAGAATAAAGCAGGAGGCATCACAATGCCTGACTTCAAATTAACTACAAAGAAATGATGATAAAAATAGCATGGTATTGACTCAAAAACAGACATGTAGATCAATGGAACAGAATTGAGTATACAGAAACATCCCCAGACACATTCAGCCATTTGATCTTTGACAAACGGGCCAAAAACATATATTGGAAGAAAGATAGTCTATTCAACAAATGGTTCTGGGGAAATTGGCTATCTATATGCAGAAGCTGGAGCCCATATCTCTCATCATACACTAAAACTAAACTAATAAAAACAGATCAAAGATGTAAATATTAAAACAGAAACAATGAACCTATTGAAATGTAAAATAAGTAAAATACTCAAAAGTGTAGACAATGACTTTCTGAATTGAATTTTAATTGCACAAGAAATAACAAGAATAAAAATGGGATTATATCAGTTTTTAAAACTTCTGCACACCAAAGGAAACAATTACTAGAGGAAAGAGACAACCTACAAAATGAGAAAAATTTTCTGCCAGCTATTCCTGAAACAGAAGACTAATATCTAGAATACATAAAGAACTCAAAAAATTACACTACACAAAATAAAAGACCCAGTTAAAAAATGGGCAAGTGAAATGAATAGACACTTCTCAGAAGAAGTACAAATAGCCAAAAGACATATGAAAATATGACCAACATCTCTGGCCATTAGAGAAATATAAATTAAAACAATGCTAAGATTCCATCTTACACCAGAAAGAATGGAAATGACCAAAAAGTCAAAGAATAACAAATGCTGGCATGGTTATAATGAAAAAGGAACCCTCTTATATTGCTGGTGTAAACTACTACAGCTATTATGGTAATCAGTGTGAAGATTTCTTAAAGAACTCAAATTATAAATTCAGTTTAACCTAGCTACTCTCCTTCTAGATATCTTTCCCAAAGAGCTTAAGATATCATATTACAGCAATGCATACATACCAATGTTTACAGTAGCACAATTCATAATAACTAAATTCTGGAAGCAGCTTGTATGCCCATCAACAAACAAATGGATAAAGAAAATGTGGTATCTACACATAATGGAATACTACTCCACAGTAAAGAAGGATACTTTTGAGACATTTGTAGGAAAATGGATACAGCTGGAGAATATAATGTTAAGTGAAATAAATCAGACACACAAACTTAAATACCACATGGTATCTCTCATTTGAGTGAGGATAAGTACAAACAAAGAGCAAAATAAAGGATTGATAAAGGAAAGTGGGAGACAGATCTTTTGCAAATGAGAAGCGATAAAGGGTGAAGGGAGGATGGTGGGGGAGGAGGAGCAGAAAGATTTATCACTTGTCAGGTACATGCACCAAGTAGCCACAATGAATGTAAATATCATATGTCATGAACAGAAATTCAAAATAATAGCAGGAAGAATGAAAATAGGGACTTAGAAACAGAGGAGGGAAGTGGGGAGGGGAAGGGAGAGACTCCAGTTGTGTTATGTGCATACACCTTTCCCCTAAGATGAGCATAGACTTTATATACTGTAAACATGTACTAATAAAAATAAAAGATACTTATGAAATGTTTACTGTAGGGAACAGGGAAAGGGGACATTACTAGAACCTCTGCACTAAGTCCTAGTCTCCTGCAAGCCACGACAGCACAAGGTGAATTAACTTATTAGACAGAAAAGACAGAAAAAATAAGACTTAGAGAAGATGCTGAGCTTTGGGGCCTGATCAGTGCTGCTCTGGGGGGCAAAGACAAAGCCCCAGAGCTTGCCACACCTTTAATCAGTCCATCAGGAGAAACATGTAACAGATGACTCAGGGCAGAGAGCTCAGTACATCAGGAGAGTAACAATCATAAAAGGTCACTCAGGGGCAGTGGCGGTGAAAATCCTAGAACCACGAGGAACTATGCAGATGAGAATTTTGTTCCTCCCAGGATGTCTTCAGCTGGTGTAATCTTGCCCTGGAGCATCACAGCATCACCAGACCACTGAGGTTTTAGCTCTGACCGGAGGCCAAAATGGAGTTATGTCTCGACATGGTATACCTGGCCTACAGGCCGGAGAACTAGGCCTAAGCATAATTTTAATTGTGCAATGATTTTTCACAAAAATTACATAAAATTGCTCCCGACATCTTACAATTGAAGAAAAGAAAATCAACTAAGCTTGTACCCTATAAACTTGAAAAAGAGCAAGTTAAGCCCACAATAAATAAAAGCAAATAACAAAAATAAAAGAAAACTGAACAAATAAGAGGAAATAATAGTCAATTTTTCTGTATTTTAGGCACCACATTTATTTTCAGATTGTCTGTTTTAATGTATATCCAGAATTACAGTAATCATAGAAGAAAAATTTGGAAGAATATGGAAATAAAATGAGAATCTCATGGGCATAAAAATCAGAAAGTAGGTGACTCTAAGGTAGATTGGGAAAACCAGTCAACTGTCCAAAGTGACAGGAAGTAACTTTCCCAGCTAATGGTAGTATTGGGTGTCTTGTTTAGGATGATTGTGTGCATAACTGTCAATTTCATTGAATTTAACTGGTATTTTAATATATAGGAATTAAACTATTTTTTGAGTTGAAGAAAAACAGTATCTTGAGTAGCTCATGGCAGTGGTATTTGAGCACATCTGGAACATAGGCTTTAGAAGCAACCACAGCATTTTCAGTTCAATAATTTGCCAAAAGTAGTTTTGCAGTCAAAATATGTAGTGAGTGTAAATATCTAAGATGGGAGCTACTGTGGCCCATGACTACAAAATTTCACTCTTGAGACATTGGTCATTTACCTAGGTAGTAGTTATCATGGCATTGCTTCCTTTCAGTGATGCTCTTCCTCTAGAATCCAGAGCTCTTTGAGAGAAATAAAAATTGAGGTCATAGAAAGATCAAGTTGGAGAGAAAGTCATGCCACATATAACTTACTGATTAGAGCTGCCACAACTGTGAATTCTTGAATTTACAACATTTCAACTGACATGCCAACAAAGAAAACAATGGGATAAAGTGAATTTTTCCTGCAGATATATTTGCTGCACAAAGTATAATGCAAAATTTACATTATACTGGGATATTTTCTCCCCTTCTAAGACTGTGAATCCCAGATAGCTTGCATGACGTACAATAATGAGTGTTTTGAACTAAGGCCAAGAGTCTTTATCGCAAATGACCTTGAAGCTGACATTTTCTCCTGTGCCAGGGAGAAAAAATGTAAATTAGTTATTACTCTTTGGGAAGGAGGGATCTTGGAGAAAAAGTGAGCAATGAGAATGTAGCAAAAGTTCAAGCAATGAGCTGAGTCACAGGGTACAGCACATAAAGCTCCAGTCCTGCCTTGGGAGGTTGAGGGCACCAGCATCCAGGCTCCTTCATCTGCTTTTTTTTTTTTTTTTTTTGGTGTTTTGTCATCTGCCTTTTAACAGCTACAGGTTAGAGCTTTCAGTGGCTCCTGGTGGTGGGATGGGGATATAGAATTTTGCAAAAATTGGAATAGAGTGAACACATGAAGTTTCTGTGGGTTTGTACCTAATAGACATTTCTCCTTAGCTCTCTCCAGGGATTCCTCAGTCATCACATCTGCTTCTTGTATTCTGCTTGCTGCACTGACCATGACAGGGTGGAGCTGCCTGGTGACAGGAGCAGGAGGCTTCCTGGGCAAGAGGATCATCCAATTGTTGGTGCAGGAGGAGAACCTGCAGGAGGTCAGGGCCCTGGACAAGGCCTTCAAACCACAAACCAAGGAAGAATTCTCTAGTAAGTGGGCTCTGGGATTGAGTGTGGGGCTCCATTGGGCAGCCTGAGCAGGTATGGGGAGGGGATGCTTCTGAAACAAATAATTAAACTTGGAGCCATAAGGCTCTTGCGTGTCCACATCACAAGGAGAAATCATAAGTGTCAGAACGTAATATACACTCCACAGCTGCCAGGAGACTGGACTCTGGCCTGCTCAGAACTAAACAGAGTGGACACAGGCAGCCATGAGGACTGTCAGCCTGTCTCCCTGGCATCTAGAAATCACACATCAGTTCTCTCGCTCTCCTGCAGCTCATTAATGTGCTGAAGGTCCTGGACACCATAATTACTGTCCAAAATAGGCAAAGTACTATTAACTTGGAGGTTACAGTAGCAGAACCTTTTTTGTTACCCTGGGCCCTGTTGTTTTCTTTAGTCTTGTTTGTTAAGGGACTCAGCATCTTCTGTGAAGGAGAAAGAAAGGAAGCTAACGTAAAACTGATTCTGTGTGTATCTGGTGTGAGTGTGTGTGTGTGTGTGTGTGTGTTGTATAAGATAGAGGAAGAGAGAGAAAGGGGAGAGAACGAAAGGGGAAGAAGGAAGGAAGGGAAAGAGGGAGAAAGAGAGGAATTAAGGGAGGGGAGGATGAAAGGAAGAAGGGGAGAATGGAGGAAGGAAAGAAAAGAAGGAAGGAGAGAGGTAGAAACAGAGATAGAAAGACAGGGAGCCAAGCAGAAAGATGTGGAACAGAGACCCAGATTAAGAGTAGACACACACATGGACAGCCTGGAGCCAGAGCCAAAGTGAGAGGCATGAGAGAATGGGATATTCTTCCTATGTTGATTCCTCCTATGCTGTTTCCACAGTTTCTCTCTGCTCTTCATCGCCCCGCAAAAAGCCACTGCCAATATGCGAGTGCAGTCCATTACTGTTTCCTTAAAATTGCTGCTCCTGTAATAGCATTGCCAAAAATGCAACCCCTGGATGGATATTGTATTTTTCCAGCTGTTTTGTCCCCAGTTTTTCAAAGTAACTGTGATAAGGCAAGAAGGGGCTCATCCATGGGCACCTCAAGGACTTTGAGGACCAGAAAGTAAAAATGACTGGTTTGAAGTCACCTGCTTAACAGGGAACAGAAAACAGGTTAGAACTGCATTTCCATGGTGGGGGGCACTCATCACCTGGCACTGCAGCTGATCTTGATGCCATCAGATCTCAGTCCCTTCCCAGTTCCTCTGTGTGCTTCACACCCATTGTCTGCCACCCTCTCTACCAGGGAGCACTGGTTCTCTACCTGAAAGCCCAGGATGCCCAGATCACCCCGCTGTGGACACAGAAGCACTGTGAGGGAACTGTAGGATCACACCCACCCCTGTCCTCTTCTCTGCTCCTCTCCGACTTGTTCCACTGTCCACTGTCCTCCCCAGACTGCTTCAAGGCTGTTTCCCATAAACAAAAATTAACACATAATGAGAATTGTTCGTAAACTTTCCATCTGAGTGATACTGATAATTTAACTGTTGTTGGCAGGAAGGGGAAATGCTCAGCCTAGAGGAAGGGCTCCCCATAATGACAATCCAGGGGGCGTGAGGGATAGGCAGAGGCCTGCAGCGAAGTGAGAGTGGATCCTCGACAGTGCTCCCTCCCTCTGCAAGACACTCTGTGACTTCTTTGCAGGGGCAACACATTTTGTCTTCAAGATAACTTTGTGAGGTAGGAAAAACGGATATCCTCCTTTTTACAGGTGAGAAGACAGGCTCAGAGAGGGTAATTAATATGTTAAAAGTGCCACAGATAAAGTGCATGGGTTTGAGGCCCAAGAGTTTGACCTGCAGCTTCTGTGCTCTTCACAATTATTTCGTTAAGCAACTTCTATCTAGGCTTCTCTTTCATGCAGCTCACACCAGCCAAGCAACTGCATGTTCTGTCGACACAGGACCACACTGGCCAAGTTCACGTGACTTGAACAAGGACAGGCTGTGACTACTATGAGCGCTCACAGCGCCCTCTCCTGGCTGTCAGCGTCCCTGAGGACTGATGGGATGAGAGCCCCCTTCCTTGGGGTTCTGAATTCCTCCTGTCTCTCACTGCCATCTCTCTGAGCCAGAGGATCTGATGTCAGCAGAAGAGGAGATGCAGAGGAAGGGAGAGGGGACAGAAGAGGGATAGGACTGGGGAAGATTCCAGTCTCAGGCTGGTACTGACCTGCTTTCCCGAGTCCTTCCCATTTTTCTTCATGGAGAGCCTTCTTGGGAACACCGGACAACACTTGGGGTTGAGCTAGCACTGGCACAACTCAGCAGAGGGTTCAGAGATGAAGTCCTCCTCGTGCATCACGGGAACAGTTTTCTCCAGCCCTGCATTTTCCCTCAGATTGTTTCTCTCCTTCTTCTTGGGCCCTTACTGCAACTGTCAGTTTCATTCATGTATCCTTGCTCTGGCTAAAAAAAGTTGATTCCTAAAATCTAGTCCTGCACTTGTGGTGCAGAGGAAAGACAGTGAGCCATGGAGGCAGGGGTGGGGTTCAGTGCTCATTAGCAATGTGTGCTCAGATCTGTCCCTGAACCCCTCTGAGACTCAGTTTCCTCACCTACACAGGGGAAAGGAGAATCAGAATTTCTGTCTGCTGAGATCTTCAGGAAAGGAAGCAAGTGAACTGTGAATTTGTTTGCACAAAGAGGTGCAGAGTGTTGGAGTCTGCATGCGGCACAGTGAATTTTTCAGGGCTAAATTGAGTTGGCCCTGTCACTGGCAGTGTCATTCTGTCATTCCTATGTGTCTCACTGGAAATATGCACATATTCAGGTTGTAACCAGTGTCCTGGGCTTGAGAGCTGGGATGGAAATCATCTGTAGCTGACTCATTGGCATCATTGATGTCCACTACTGACAATATGTGACACATAGTAAGACATTTTCAATTAAGTCCATCCAGAGCCCACCCTGAATTCTCTGTTAGTGGCTCCAATGTCCTCCTAGTCACCCAAATAGGAAACATAAGCGCTGAGTTTAACTGATTTTCTGCTCAGCCCAGACCCAGGAAGGCCCAGACCTGTTGTAGGAAGGAATGAAACTTACCACCTGTGGGTCTCCCCACTCTCTGCTCCTATTGATGGGCCCTGTTTCTCCTCATCAGAACTCTGGCAGAAACATTCTGATTAGTGCATTGCTGTCCTGCTTTCTCTTACATCCCCACAACAGTGCATTTGACATCCTGAGGCCCAGGTGAGTATCCTATTCACAGGCCTGCCACTGTTCCTCCTACAATTCCAAATCGCTACAGGATTCCTCACTGCCTACGCAGTTAAATTAGAACTCCTCTTTATCCAACTCTCTACAACTTTCCCACTCCCCCGATGCATTTGTTGAAACTTATCAGTATTCATTAACAATTATTTTTGTTCCAGAGACTCACAGAGCTTACTGCTCTGATTCATGTTTTGCAACACAATGGATATGAACAGTTGCTTATTCTCTGCCAGTAAATGCTATACACTTTGATTTCTGTACCTTTACTACCTTGTTCACTACGTGCAACGTGCTCCATCCTAGACATTCCCCTGCTCTAACTATCCTTGAAAACCATCCCAACCCATGCAGAAAGCTTCTAAATGAACTATTTTGTGTTTCCACAGAGCTGCAGACAAAGACCAAGGTGACAATGCTTGAAGGAGACATTCTGGATGCTCAGTACTTGAGGACAGCCTGCCAGAGCATCTCAGTGGTCATCCATGTCGCCGCTATCATCGATGTATCTGGTGTCACTCCTAGAGAGACCATCATGGACATCAACGTGAGAGGTAGAGCAGCCTGTGGGTGACATGCAGCAGGTGGGAATATGGGAATAGCAGGTGATATGAGGAAGGCAACAGAAGTCCCACTGTGGAATACCTGCTGGGCCCTGGCTGAGCAGCCTTTGCTCACCACTCTCAGCTAACAGAGCTCAGAGCTGTTATTCTCTGCTCTTTTACATGAGGAAACTGGGGCTCAGAAAAGCAAGGAAGTTGGCTAAGGCCCCAGAGTTAGTCAGAAGGAAAACAAGAATTTAAAAGCACTCATGTTGGACCCCCCAAATCATGAGTAGTCTTCTTTCAGTTACTCCATTAGAGGGTCAGCTCTCCCCTGACCTGACTCTACACTCTTGTCCATCCACCCAATGCCTCCCATGAGTGAAACCAAATCCAAACTCTGCTGAGGCCTCCTCAGCTACACATGTAGATAACAATATGGAGAATCTCTTGCCCGGTTGAAAGAAGACTTCATCCCCAAAGAACTAGCACAGCTGGTTCACAGAAGTCTGTTAGAATAGAACTGTCCAGCATGGGTCTTTACACTGTTTTTCCTAAGGTAGAATCCTTCCCCATTATCTACGATATTACCCCTTCCGCCCACAACTGTGTCTCAACCAGCAGAAGGTTCTGGTCAGATGCCTAAAAAAATCCCACCTCTGATCCTCATCTCTAAATGCTTGGTGATGTCTTCTGAATTGCAGCTTTCCAACTGGCTTTAAATGGAAACACATTAGCTCAGGAAAGCTTGCCATGTACCACTGTCACTCTGACTCTGGAGGGCCATTCTTTCCATCAACATCATCCCTCTGACATTGGCCCATCTGTCAGGACTGCCTTGATTCCGAACTCAGGAACTCAGTGACTCCCTTGTGAAGCAAACCAGTTATCTTTCATTTTCCAATACCATGTTAAAAGGACATCTTCTCATTTCTACCCCAAACCGCTATGTACCCACAGTACGAAAGGCTGTTAAGGAGGCAGATTTTGATTTCAGTTTCCTGTCTCATGACACCTGCCCTCTTCACCTGCCCCCTGAAATGAAAGGGGCAGTGTTGCAGGTATTCATTTACTAAAACAATTCCCAGGTTACCAAATGCTTCACAGTAACAGTTCAGCTCCCCTCTTTCTCTAAACTAAACTCATACAGTTTTGCACTATGAGTTTCATTATTTTTGAAGGAGTTGTTCACTGTCAAGAAAATCAAATGCACAAATATTTCTAATGGAGGTGTGGGAGGAATGAAAGAAAGGAAGGGAGAGGAAAAGAAAGAGAGGAGAGGGTAAGGGAGAAAGGGAGGGAGGTCGTTCCCCCCTCCCTTCTTCCAGTGAAGTTGCTGAGTCAATTCCAAGACCAGCAGCACTCACCCCTGAAGACTCCATGGTTCCCTGCTATTGCGTACATTCCCAGCATTGGGTGCACTCTTGCTTCCAGTTCTCCACTAGGCTTAACAGAAAAAAAATGCCAAAGCTAGATCCCAGAATACCAACTGAAGGGAATCGTTATCACCACTACTGTGCACAGTCTGGGTAAACAAAGTGATAAAAAGAACTAGTGGTGGCCTTCACAGGCAACACAACCAGAAACACACACTGGGTCTCCACATCTCTCCCAATTCAGTACCTATTAGCTCAGACTCAGATTGTTCTTGTGAAAAATTTATTAATCTTCAAAACAATATATGAGTATGGTATTTTCTATTTATGATTGTATATTGCTGATAAAAAAATGAGCATATGTGATGTGAATGCTAAATTGTCTGTGTTTCTCCCAGAATTTTAGGATTTAAAATGACCCATAAATATTGAAATTATGTGGATGACAAATATTAATTAGTTTTTGTTTTTATTTTTGGTTATTTATTTTGTTCTTTATATTTATACTGGTGATTCAACCCTACTGCTAGGGCTTGCTAGGTAGCGCCTGTAACACTGAGCTCTATCCCAATACACCTGGTAATTACATGTCTATCTGCATTGGTACCCTTTATAAAAATCAAAATACACACACACATACACAAAGCACAGATATAAAAAAGCCTGGAAATACTGCCTCACCACAACATAAATATTAGCTTCTTTTCTGTTTGTATCTTTCCCTAACTCTAGCCTGGCAGATCTATAATAATCACCCCAGGGGAGGAGGTGAATATGAACATGAACCTGAGCTGAGCCATAGTGGGCCCTTTGGGTTATTTTCTGATGCTGACCCTGTGTTCCCCACTTGCAGGTACCCAGCTCCTGTTGGAGGCCTGTGTGCAAGCGAGTGTGCCAATCTTCATCTACACAAGTTCAGTCGATGTAGCTGGGCCCAACTCCTACAGGGAGATCGTCCAGAATGCCCGAGAGGAAGAGCATCATGAAAGCACATGGTCTGCTCCATACCCAGCCAGCAAAAAGCTGGCTGAGAAGGCTGTGCTGAAAGCTAATGGATGCATGCTGAGAAATGGTGGCACCATGCACACTTGTGCCTTGAGGCCCACGTACATCTATGGGGAAGGAAACCCATTCTTATCTTCTGTGATGAATATGGCCCTCAAAAACAATGGGGTCCTGAAAAGTACAGGCAAATTCTCTATAGCCAACCCAGTCTATGTTGGCAATGTGGCCTGGGCCCACATTTTGGCCTCCAGGGCCCTCAGAGACCCCAACAAGGCCCCAAACATTCAAGGACAGTTCTATTATGTCTCAGATGACACACCTCACCAAAGTTATGATAACCTTCATTACAACCTGAGCAAAGAATGTGGCCTCTCTCTTGATTCTAGCCCAAGCGTCCCTTTGTCTCTAATGTACTGGCTTGCTTTCCTGCTGGAAATGGTGAGCTTCCTGCTGAGGCCAATTTACAATTATCATCCCCCCTTTGACCGCCACTTACTGACACTGTCAAATAGTGTGTTCACTGTCACCTGTAAGAAAGCTCAAGGAGACCTGGGGTATGAGCCTCTCTTCAGCTGGGAGGAAGCCAAGCAGAAAACTGGGGAGTGGATCAGTTCACTAGCACAGCAGCACAAGGGGACTCTAAAGACAAAGACTCAGTGATGTGCCCATGGCAGGGGTGTGGTCCTGGGTGATGTCTGGAGCTATTTATCCACTCCCTCCATCTGGCTTCCTCTTAAGAGTGACAGAAGCCCAGGTCCCAGAGCCTCCCTCTCCCACAGTGGAAACCTACCCTCTTCCTAAGGCCACCAGGTGCCTTTTGGTTCAATCTCCCCTTGTGAGTGCTAAAGTGATTCTTTTCTTTGGAAAACTTACACTACTTCACAAAGCACAATGAAAAAGGGAACACAGGAAATAAAGCTTTAAATGTGTAAGATGGAGTACGTGTGGTTTTTGTTAACATTGATTTTCCACCTTTGTTTTCATTGCCAGGTAGCAGTAGTTCAGAAGCAGCATGGGGCTCTTTTAGGCAGAGTGATGTCAGGGCTGGCCAACCACCTGAGATTGCCTATGACCTGCTAGTTTCTGTCATGTACTAGATGACTTACATTCCCTCATTTCAGCCTCACCACACCAGTAGGAGGCAGGACCCCTATTCTCATGCTATGGATGAGGAAACTTGTTCTCAGACTCACCAACTGGTATGTCCTGAGGCCAGATCTCCATGGAAACTGACTTAAAATCTTTCATCTTCTACTGAAACTTGCAGGCTTGTAGAGAGGCAACAGAGCCTGGGTTGTTTCTCTCTGGGACACCACCATTAACTTTGTGGTATGTTCTCCCTGTCCAGCCTCTCAGGAAGCTCTAGATCTAGGTGAATCCTTGAGTAAACCCTTAGGCTGGAGGTGAGGTCCCATATGCCTTTACCACTGGCCTGGGAATTAAGGGAGAAACAGAGATGCTTCCATCCTCCAACTACGACATCAGAGTCCTTGATAGTTCTAGAATCCAACTCCATATGTGTGTTCTGACCACTGTTCTCATTTGCAACTTCATATTTCAGTCTTTCAATTCATATAATGAAAAGAGACCATGGGTTCTTGGGAAGTAAGAGGAAAAAAAATCTCAATTCCCACTACAAATGTATTCCCGAATCAGCCTAAAGTCTGCAAATCTACTCTCCCCATCTCAGGATTTAACTGTCACTCCCTCCTTCTTCCCATCTCTCTTATATCCTCTGTTTTCTTCCTTTATTCTCCTATCTCTTGGCTTCTTCCTCTCCCTGTATTTTGTATCTCAACCTTGTGAATTTCCCAGAAGAGAAAAGAACAAACGAGAAATCTGGTGACTTAAATGTTGACATAATCATTAATCAGTCAGGGTACCAACAGTCTCTGTTGTGTCCCCAGGGACAGAAGCAAGCGAAGAACTACCTGTGACAGTTGGGTGAGGGAAACTGCAATTGCAACACAGTGTTGGTTTATCTGTGTTTTGTATCAGAAACATCAAAAAAGTCTCAATCACATAGAGATCTCTTCATTCTCCCCATGTTCAATGAAAATTATAGAAGCCGTTGGTTAAATTGGAGGTTCTATGTTAGGTCCGACCAAAATCCAAAATTGCTACTCTGGGGCTAAATTTTCATACCACCAGCTGAAACTTAGATGCCTATTTGATCACCCAGAAACAAAGACAAAGAATGACAATGTACACATTTTCAAGCAAGCCAAGCATAGCCAGTATGACAATGAGTCCCTACTGCTGTAACCTTGACAAGAAAATAACTTTGTAATTATCATTGTACTTTCTGTTATCTGGTTGTGCTTTCTTCAACCCGCTCATGTCTTCTGCTCAGTTCTGTTGGACACTATTACATAGTGCAAAAGGAGATGTTAGCCAATTCCAGAATCACAAGTAAAAGCCAGTGAAGATCTGTAAACTTAGTTCCTTAAAGTTTGATGTTATGACACCCGGGAATTTACAGACTATTATGTAAGACAGGTTGGACCACAACTAAGGACTTAGTTGAGCATTTGCTCTGAAGAGGAAAGGGAAAGAACACTCGGGCAAAACCTGCAAAGCCCAAGGGAAAAGAGTCAGCACTCAGCATGGGGTGCAGTGGCCCCAGGCAGTGGCAGGTGAGACACATGTCTGCCCCTGCACCTCAGCTGTGCACAGCACAGTGCCCATGTCTGTCCAGGCCTGCCAAGCCTTGCACACTTTACATGTGTCTATGCCAGTAAATCGGGAAGGAAAGAGGCCGTTAAAGTCTGGGAAGGGCCTTTACCTTTGTTTTTAGCCCAGTGAAATCCATCATTGAACCCACCAGGCCACAAGGAAAGAATGAGGCTGCACACAAGGGTGAGTGGAGAAAGACAAGGGAGACTGAATTTACTGATAAACTCAACTGAATAAGCATAAGGCCTCAGAATGCTTTGGCCAACAGCGTTCCCGTCCCTACCTACACTGACACAGCACAGTATGGTCGGGACCAGGCATTCTGGAGTCCTCCGCACAGCTTGCATGCCCTACACACAATATACCACATGGGAGCAGCATAGATATTGAGGGACAGTGGCGACCCCAGGCAGAGCTCTCCCTGTTCTTTCCTCTACTTTTGGACTCTGCAGTCTGTGGTAAAGAAAGAGAGAAATATAGGAAAATCCTCAGCTTCTGGCTAATGTCCCTCTATCTGTGGGCACAGGAAAAGAAATTCAGCTAGGAGCCCCTAGGCTTTGAGGAGGAATGAGAGGTGGATGCCAGTGAGGACACAGCCTGAGCAATGGTGAGAATGATAATAGAGGACGAAGTTGGACATCAGCTGAGCAGGGCTTATTTGGGAAAGAAGTCAGGCCTTGTTCCAGTAACTAATTCTAAATTTCAAAAACAGGATGAAATTAGGTTCAGGAGGGAAAAACAGTGTTCCATGTGCACGTGCGAAATACTTACTTAACAAGTATGTGGTGATTGGACAGAGACTAATATGTTCATTCTTGGTGATAGGTCCCAACATATATTTTATTATATCCTAAACTGTTTACATGTTTTTAATGTAAATTGACAGGCTAGACTCAGGCAGATGGCCTCCAATTATCCTTTCTGCTTTCAGGCCCTGGTCTGCAGGAGAGATTACATGGGAAAGTTGGTAGGTGCTGTACACAATAAAAAGTAAAGAGCCCTGAGAGGTAAAGAATTGTGGAGGATTCTTCTGGGCAGGGATCCAAGGCCCTGCACTTGGGCTGCTAGCTGCTGGATAGGTAGGACTCCAAGGGAAAAGCATAAAGGCCAGTACTCATGGTGTCTGCAAAGGCCCAGTGGGAAAGGGGATCATGGTCATGCTGAGGCAGCAGAAAACTAGCCTGAGCAGATCAGAGAGCTCAGGTGCAGGGGAGAAATGGAAGATATCCATGCAAAGGCATCAGGGACACAGACCTGGACCTCCTTGGGTCATCTCAGGAGACACCACCTCTTTCCCTCTTCCTTTCAGAGAAGACATTCTGTGCTCCTTCCGGAGCACATTGGAGAGTCAATTAATTCCCATTTAATTTGCCTTATATCCTCTAAAAATCTGGATCTACCAGAAAAGAATTTGTCTCCTCCAGCAAGGAGTAGTGATAGTCAGGGGACAGAACTTGTGCTCCACTTAATGAGGCAGGAAGCAGTGCAGATCCCTCACAGCCTCCCAGGGAGAGTGCTGTACCAGCACTCTGTATTACCGACTTAAAGAGATGGAGGGGATTCTTCGAGAATATTGTCTTCTAGGCATTGTACTCATGCTTGTGATCTCAGCTACTCAGAAAGCTGAGGGAGGAGAACCCTGAGCTCTAGTCCAGCCTGAGCAACCTAGCAAGATTAAGTCCCAAAGTAATAAAAAAGGGTTGGGAATATAGCTCAGTGATAGAGCATCCTAGGGTTCAATCTCCAGTACCAGAAAATAAATGAATGAGTGGGGATTGAACCATGAAATGGAAGCCTAATTTATGTCAAAGTAAGGGCCAGTGTGTTGGGAGCAATTCTACATAATTTTGTGGGAAAATCATTTCACAGTTAAAATTATGATTAGGCCTAGTTCTCCTGCCTACAGGCCAGCTATGGCATTTTGAGACATAGCTCCATCTTGGCCTCCTATTGCATCTAAAACCTCAATGATCCGGTGATGCTATGATGCTCCAGGACTAGATGACAGCAGCTGAAGACATCCTGGGAGGAACAAAATCTTCATCTGCATAGTTCCTCATTGTTCTAGGATTTTTGCCACTGCTGCCACTGCAGCTGTTGCCCTCTGAGCACCTTTTACATTTGGTACTCTCCATATATACTGAACTCTCTGCCCTGAGTCATCTGTTGCATTTCTTTCTCTTGATGTACTGAATAAAGTTGTGGAGAGCTCGGAGGCTTTGTCTTTATCACTCAGAGCAGCACTGATTGGGCTCAAAAGCTCTGCTTCTTCTCTGTGTTTTATTACTTCTATCTTTCCTGTCCAGTAAGTTAATGGACCTTGTGCTGTCATGGCTCGCAGGAGACTAGGATTTACTACAGATGTTCTAGTAATGTCCCCTTTCCTTGTTCCCTACACCAGTGAGGCAAGTCTGCCATGGAATGGACCAGACCTTTATCAGAACTAAGTGTGGTCATAGCAGTTCTGTGGCATGCTTTCTCAAAACACACATCTGGATGACATTTCCCTGACACCATCATTCAGCTCTATACATTTTACCTCCAAAAGACTGCATGAATGTCCTCTTCATCTCGGGTCACCCAGTTTTGGTTCAGGCCTCCTCGTTTCTTACCTAGTCTCTAACAAAAGGCTCCCAGCCTGCAGTGTCTTCCATGAGGTCCATTCTCAGCAGTGGGGTCAAAGATGTCTTTCCACGATAACTTCCCACTATGCCAATCTCTTCCTGAAAAGTGTTCACTTCTGGACAACTTAAACTCTTTTGCAGGAAATGTTTCTTAAAATATCAGAGGATTATGAAAAAAATGTGAGAGAAATTTTTTTCCCTTTTTCTTGGCCCATGACCCTGCACAAGAGAAAGGAGCAAGAAACAAAGTCATTCTTACAAGGCATGAAAAAGGTTCATCAAGAAGGAGCAAGGGATGTTGAAATATAAGAACAAAGTGGGCTGCCCACTGTCCCTGAGAGCAAGGGATCTTGTTCTGCTGCATACCCTGAAACAATTGCAAAGGTCCTCTATAACCCTGAGCTCCCTGTCAATAATGAATGTAGTTCATCCTCAGGACACAAGACCTAGCCAGCACAGTCAACTGTTGAGCCAAAATAGGTGCTGGGACCAAAGAGTGCCCCTAAGGTGGCTGCTGGCCTGTGTCATCATGGTATGGACATTGGCCATGAAACCAGGAATGTCTATCTCAGAAGGCCAGAATTCACTTAGTTCTTCCCTAGCTGGAGTCTATCAGATCACTGTGTGATTAT